CGCGGGTCCAACAGGTGGGCACCGCTGCCCCGAGCTGCCCGCCTGCGACGGCCCGAGTGTAGCGCACACCAGACCCGAGACTGATGCGGGAACGGGTGCGCGCTATCCCCTTCGTACTGTTTATACTGACGTGCTGGGGTGTTTGGGGCCAAACACAAACGTTTAAGTTGACTTTTATTGGTGCCGAACGTGGCTCCTAAGAAACCCAAAGTAGCCCAAGGCTGGGGGTAGCGGTATCGGCCGCCGCCCCACCTCCCACCCTCACCCCCTTCTCCCGGAAGCGTTCCCCTTTATTTGTAATCACTTCCTTGTTTGTGAACCGCCGCCACCACTGGGTTTTAAGACATCATCAATTTAATAAGTTGGCAAGGAAAGGGGAAACACTCCCACATTCAATGGACACGTCGACTAACCTCCCGATCTCAGAAAGGGGGAGCCGAAGGAGACTCGTGCTTCTCGCGAGTTTGCATTTGTTAATGTGTCGCCCCCCACCCCGCCCCAATGTTTTCTCATCTAATGGGGCTCCCTCCCCTAGAGGGAGAGCAGTTCCTGAAGGTCAGGGCCGGTCCTCTCCGCACCTCCCCCGCTTCCAGTGGAGCAAGGGTCAGGCGAGGTGGCTGTGCCGCTGGGATCCCGTCGGCTTCACGGGGTGACTTACAGGAGCTGGAACTTCCTGCAGGGAGCACGTGCCTCCCCGGCGTCCCCACCCCAGTCCAGTGCTCTCTGCTCTCTGGGCCCAGGTGGGACCGCGCCCTAACTCCCGGGTGTCCTGTGATTCCTGTGACCCTGTTTTACAGACCGCATTTGGGGGCCTGAGACGAGGGACCTTTGTACCACATGTAGACTCAAGCCCCAGGATTTAAGCAGCTAAATGCTTTGCACGTTGGAGCTTAGATGCTTAAGTACCGGGGCTTGAGTCCTTTCAGCTGATGGGGACGGAGTGGAGGCATTTGCGACACCACCTTCTGTGATGGGGTGAGGTAGTGTAGCCGAGCATCCAGCAAAGCGTTTCCAGAGGAGACATTGGGACCAACGGGGAGCAGAACAGAGGGGGATCAGGCCACTGCCTACGGTCGAACCCACTCCAGTCGAGCCGGAGCCTCCATGGCTGGAGCTGAGGAGCCCGCCTCGGTGCGGGTGGTGGCAGGGCCACTGCTCTGTAGCCCGGGTGGCCACAGCCGAGTCCCGGTCCTGGGGGAACAGCCTGACTCGGGCTCTGGCGTGGATGGGTCATGGTGGTTTTTGTTTGTTTGCTTAATATATTTGTACTTATTTCAGAGATGAAGGGAGAAGAGAAATAGAAACATCAACCTCAATGGTGAGAGAGAATCACTGATGGGCTGCCTCCTGCACGCCCCACACTGGGGATCGAGCCCGCACCCCGGCATGTGCCCCGACTGGGAATCGAACCGTGACCTCCTGGTTCATAGGTGGACACTCAACCCCTGAGCCGCGCCAGCCAGGCTGGGTCAGGGTGTTCTGATGCCTTCTCCTCAAGGCATCTCTGCCTACCTCTAATTGCCCACTACTGACAGGTGGGAGCAGCGAAGTGGGGTTTCAGAGGGTCGGGGGCAGCCTGTGATCCCGTCTCCGGTCGGTCAGGAGCTGGGTGAAGGGCTGTAAGGCTGCCCCCAGCCCCCACACAGCCAGGTTCACTGAACACCTCTGCCGGCCTCGCCCTAGGGGAGGGCTGGTGTCCCCCTTGTGCCCTGGCCTGGAGCTGGAGGTGCCCTTGGAGGTCAAGGCCGCCTGCCCTGTGGCTGTGGCATCTCCCGACCGGCACAGCTGCTCAGAACATCCTCCAGAGGAAGTGCCCCTCAAATATGGTTGGACTCTTGAGTTGTTCAATGTTGTGACAAAGGCTACTCTCCACACGTCTTCAGAATAACATCCCCCTGCTCCCCTGCAGCCGGGTTGGGGGTGCCGAGGGGAGAGAGGTGAACAGGCTGGCGGACACTCAGGAGGTGCTCGCGGGCGCGGAAGGACATCTGGCCGCAGGGTCTCCGCTGAGCAGCAGAGGGGTCGCGGGGCTGTGCCACGCCGAGCGGCACAGGTGGGAGCGGAGCCGGGAAGCAGGTGCCGTGGTCAGCGTGGCCTGGTGGACGGACAGCCACGACGGCAGGGTGGACAGTGCTGTCGTGACTGGTGACTAGGGGTCACACCCAGGGTCCTGCTCCGGTGACTGTGGTCGCTGACCTGTGGGGCAGGAGGGCACCCCCTAGTGGAAGGAGGGTCCACCTGGGTGGGCGAGGAGGCAGAGCTTGGAGGGTGCTGGGGGATGAGGCGGGCGGGGGAGGGGGGACCAGAGGCTGGCTGGGGCGGCAAGGCCGGGCCAGGAGCACCAGGTTGGACAGGGGTTCAGGGTGCACCCAGAAAGATCAGATTAGACTTGGGACCTGAGAGACACGTCATGCAGGTTCTGTAGGTGCCATCTCGTGTGACCCTTCGCAGGGGAGGAGCCAGAACAAAGTCCTGGCTGCTGGCGGTGCGCCTGTACAACTTGGCACTCGGGGTCCGAGGTCACATGTGCACCCGGGAAAATCCAAGCACGAAAATAGGCCTCTGGGCCCGAGGAAGCCTCGCTAGGCCCGCGCCCTTGAGCAGCTGCCGCCTGACGGGCTGCCCCTGGTGTCACCGCCGCCCCGCCCGCCTCTCCAGGGCAGCCTCCTGGTTCCCAGGTGCCTGCGTCTGACCTTACAGGGAAAGGCCTGAGCTATACCATCTCCCTGCCTCCCCCACCCAAGCCTGTCCCCCTGGGCTGGGGGCGGCCGGTGCTGGGAGAGGACACGAAAGGTCGTTGCCCCCATGGAACTGAGAGCCAGGGGGCAGGCTGCTTCCTGGACTGCTCTGGTGCTGTGTCTGAGCCGGGCAATGCGGGCAGCGCCCTTCGGTCACCCAGCACAGGGCCCAGACCCCAGGATCCCACAGGGGTACTGGTGGAGAGAGGAGGTGACCAGCCCTCGAAAGCCGTCCTGGCAAGGACCTGTGGTCACTGACCTGTGGGGCAGGAGGGCATTTCCTGGCCACCCCAGCTGGCAGGGCTCCTGCCGATAAGCACTGGGAAGTGGCGGGCGGGAGGGCATGGCCAGGAGACAGCAGCCCTGCCCCTGCCTGGGACACACAACCACTTAACAAAAGTTTTTATTGACATCAGAGAGGGAGGGCGGGCAACACGGAAACATCAATGAGAATCATTGATCGGCTGCCTCCTGCACGCCCCCTCCTGGGGATCGAGCCTGCCACCTGGGCCTGTGCCCTGATCTGGAATTGAACTGTGACCTCCTGGGTCATAGGTCCATGCTCAACCACTGAGCCACACCGGCCGGGCCATAACCACTTTAACAGGCTCAGAGGGGGCAGGTTTCAAAACCCAAGTCAGTCCAGCAAAAGGGGTCTGGCACTGACCCCATCTGGACCTTAGGTCACCAACCTGCCCTTTCCTACCCCAGGGCTGGGCCGGGGGAGTTACTGGTGGCCCCGAGGGCTCCCCTGGGACAGTCTGCAGCCGGGGACAGTCTCCACCCTCCCAATCCACCTCTGGGCCCCTGGCCCTGCCTTCCTGTCTACCCTGGCAGCCTGGCCTCAGGCCGCCCACAGTCCCTGGGCCCAGCCACCCCCTGGTTCCCGTATTGCCTCTGGGGAGCTGTCTCCCAGGAGGTTCCTTCCTCTTCTCTGGGGTTGGGGCGTTTCCTGAGGCCAGGATGGCGGCCAGGGGCTCAAGGACAGGCCAACTGAACCACAACCTGTCTGCCCCACCCAGAGCCTCGGTGCTTTTGGGAATTTCCGGGTCTGAACCGCCCACAGGGCACCTCTGCCAGAAGGGTGAGGCAGGCTGTCAGCCCTTCAGTCAGGGCAGGGCGGTGGCCACACCTGGCTCTTGGGAACGCAAAGGAATGGGCCGGCCCTCCTTCCCGCCCAGAGCCAAGCAGCAGACACCAGGTTCCTTTGGGGGAGTTTATTTCCCGGTCAGAAGAGAAGCAGGGACAGGCTCCTGTGCGTTCCAGCCGGGCCT